ATTGGTCACGTATTCTATATCCTCTTCCTATTCCTGACTTCCTTTCTTCCTTTGTTTCTTCAGGGGAATAAAGGCCAATTGTTGTGCCTTGGATGAGCATTTGCAAGCTTTTAAGACCTCAGGTACTGTGCAACAAACTAGGGGGTAGAATAGAAATATTAAACTTGATGTTAGGCCAATTAAATGGCATGTTAAACAATGACCTTAAACCTCCAAACCAATGACCCATGTACCGTGAGGTGTTTTGCTGTACATAAGCAGTCTTAGCAGCTATTCTTTTAAAAAATTTTTTCTGGTCATTGTTGTAAATATGTTTATCACACAACTTTTGCCAATTCATCTTTTCACTGTTGTGTAACTTATTGATTACATTAATTGGTTCTGCAATCCTACCACTTAATCAGTGTGAGTTTTCTATCACTGTAATCTGAACCTCAGTATTCTACAACAATAATTTCTTCATCCCCTTCCCTTTCACCCCTGGTAATTACTAAGAAACTTGAGTCTCTATACATTTGCCTGTTTTTTTTTTTTTTTATGTGAGGTCATACAATATTTGACTTCTTGCAGTTCACTTATTTTAGTCTGCATAATGTTTTCAACTCCATCCATATTGTAGCATGTATGAAGACTTCATTTCTCTTACTGGCCAAGTAGTATTCCATTGTATGTATGTACCACATTTTGTTTATCAGTTCATCCACTGATGTGCATTTAGGTTGTTTCTACCTTTTTGTTATTGTGAATGTTGGTATACAAGTATCCGTTCAAGTTTCTGCTTTTCAGTCATTTGGGTATTGCAAAAACGGCAAGGAGGCCACATGTTCCGACCTCCTCTAACCCTACAAGAGGAAGACAGGATTACCAGCAGTAACCCAAGGCCTATTCCTACAAGGCCAGACATGCTGCCTCATTCCAGGCCTTTCACCAACCGCTTCTCCCAAAGCACCCACCACCTCTCTCATGGGTTCAGTAATTCACTGCAGTGGCCACACAGAGCTCACAGATTACAGGGTTTATTAGGGAAGCACCACAGGCTACAATTCAAGTTCAGGAAAAAATGCGCAGTCTCTCTCCCAGCCCACTGCCCCTCAGCCAACAGTCTCTCACAGTCTCTTTCCCAGCAGTGCTGGTCCCTCGGTGTCTCACTCAGCAATGCGTGTCTCTTGCGTCTCTTTCCCAGCAACGTATGTCTCAGGAGCCCGGGTCTCTTTCAGCAGCACGTCTTCCTCAACCAGCAGTCAGAGAGTTCTGCCTCTAGGAGGTCTCCTTTTGAGCCCGGCAGGGTGGTCAAACTAGCTAATCACACAGCATCAGAACTCTAAGCACCTGAGAGAGAGTGGGCACCTCCCAGAACATTGTTTTGTGCCACTCCCAACAGAAATACTCCAGGTGGACACCTTCAGCAATCAGGAACTCCTCAGTTGCTCATAGCAAATCCCACCTTGGAGTTTACAAAGACTTATGGGTAGAAAAGCCACACAAAGTAATTTACTACACTGCAGATATGTATACCTAGGAGTGGAATTGTTGGGTCATATGGTAGTTCTGTTTTTAATATTTTGAGGAACTGCTACATTGTTTTCCACAGCAGCTGTACCATTTTACATTCCCAGCAGCGGTGGATAAAGGTTCCAGTTTCTTCACTTCCTCACCAACATTTATAGTTATCTGTTTTTTTTGTTTTCATTTTTTACTCTTAGCTGTCCCAGTGGAAGAGAAATGGTATCGCATTGTGGTGTTGATTTACATCTTTGATGGCTAATGACATTGAGCATCTTCTTATGTGTTTGGTGGTCATTTACATGCCTTTGTTGGTAAAATATCTATTCAAGTCCTTTGCCTATTTTATGATTGGATTATTTGTCTTTTTGTTAAGTTATTGAAGTTTAATACATATTTTGGTTCTTAGATGATTATCAGATAGATGGTTTCTGAAGATAATCTCCTATGGGTAGCTTGTCTTTTCTTTTTTTGGTAAAGTCATTTGTTGAACAAAAGTTTTGAATTTTTATGAGGTTCTGTTTATCTGTTTTGTTTTTTTCTGTTTGTGGTTTTATTATTGTACTAGATAGTCCATTGTTAAAAGCTAGGCCCTACAGGGATCTTGAGTTCTTAAATGTTATAATAAGGAGTTTAGACTGTTCTGTAGGGAGTAGAAAATTTTGGCTGGTTTTTGAGCAAATTGGTATTGAGAATCTAAACTGTATTTTAGAAAAATAATTGATAGTTATATGAAATTTAAGTGAATTTGAGAGATTAGAAACTGGAAAACTTTTGTTGGAGAGACATTGTAGAGATAGCATTAGTTTGAATTTGAGTGACTGCTATTTACCGGGTACCATAGAAAGCATGTTAAGTCTAATAATAGTTTATATTTACTGAGTTCTTACTGTGTGTCAGTGCTGCAGTATTCATATTAAGTAATTAATCTTCGTAACAAACCTATGAAGAAAATACTATTATTCTCATTTTACAGAAGAGATAACGTAGGATACCTTGAAGTTCAGTAACTTGCCTCAGGTCACAGAGTTTATAAGTGAAAGATAGTCTGGCTTCAGAGGTTTACTCTACCTCTACCTTTATACTACCTCTCCTATCTCCTTTTGTATTCATAGTAGTCCTATGAGGTAAATACATAAATAAGACAGCTGGTTTAGAGAGATTATGTAATTTTCTCAAGGTCACTTGTTTATATTTATGTCACTGCAACCTCATGTTTTTATTCTATATTGCCTCCACTCTGATTGATCACAGGGTCCCCAAGAACCATACTACCAAACTCTTATACTCATGAAAACAGGCTAGTGATTTTACAGCTTCTATTTTGTAACCTTTACTATTTCTTGTCTTAGCCCCCAGAACCATTTCTAAGCAGTAGAGGTTACAAGCACTCCATTGAACAACCAGTTACAAATCTTGTCATCAAGTCATGTGCTTCTGTCCAAGTGGTAAGATTTCTTATGGATGTATTAAAACTTTTATAAAATCTAACTCTTAAACATCTTCAGCTGTGGAAAGAATAGTCTACTTTTATGAATACAGGGGTGATTAGTCCTTAGTGTTTGGCTACTACTATGGAAACCCAAGGAGGGGTCACTATGAGTCAGGTCCAACTTGATGGCAAACGACAACAACAACATATCATATTGAGAAAATAAGTAAGTATGTTTACCTGGCAGAACTGTTGAGAATATTTAGCCAAACAAATAAGAGGCTTTTATGTTAGCTTGAAGTCTACTGTTGTTATAATTTTATCGTCAGACCACATATTTAAGTGCTAAATGGCAAACACAGGTTGTATAAGTTTTAATAGAGTCTGACTTAGAGATATGAAAGGAATCTTAATGAATATTGCTTCTTAATTAAATTTTAAATTAGAATATGAGTATTATATTTGTATGTGGTGGTGGTGCTTGTTACGTGCCATCAAGTGACTCATAGTGACCCTTCCTTGGGTTTCTGAGGTGGTATTGCTATGGAAGTAGATTGCCCAACCTTCCTTCTGAGGAGTGGCTAGTGGGTTTGAACTGCCAGCCTTCTGGTTAGCAGTCAAGTGCCTTAGGCAATTATGCTACCAGAGCTCCTATTATATTTGTATGTTGTTGTTATGTGCCGTCGAGTCAAACCCAACTCATAGCGACCCCTCCTTGGGTTTCCGAGGCAGTATCACTACGGAAGTAGGATTGCCCAACCTTCCTTCCGAGGAGTGGCTGGTGGGTTTGAACCGCCAGCCTTCTGGTTAGCAGGCAAGTGTCTTAGCCACTATGCTACCAGAGCTCCTTATATTTGTATAGTAACTACTATTTACCAAGTATTTTCCATAGGTTTGACAATATGCTTTACAAATACTATTCATGTAATCCTTAAAACAAACTTGTCAGTTAGATGATACTATTGATATTTTACAGGTGAGAAAACTGGGGGAGAGGAGTGAAAAAAATTTATACTAGGTCACTTAGCTTGTAATTTGTCAGAGTGAGCTTTCAAACTTAGGTATATCTGTCTTTAAACCTTTTGCTTTTCTTATTCCATCTGATTATTTGTGGCATTTGAATTGGTCATATAGAAAGTCAAAGAATTTTAAGATACTAAAAAGAAAAATCTAAAGGATATGGTTATGTCTGTTTGTGCATTGTAAACAATTATAGAAATTATATATAAATGTACTGAATTATAACTTTTATTTTTTTCTTTTAGATAATTGATGCACATTTCTTTTACTTAAGAGAAATGAGTATAAGAGATATTGCATTAAGAGTTGAAACCTGGCTTTCTGCTACGTGGCATGTTAAAGTACCTCTAATGTGGCTAGAAGCTTGTATAAAGTGGATCCAAGAAGAAAATAATAATGTTAAATTGAGTCAGGCACAAATTAATAAACAAGTGTTTGAGCAATGGCTTCTAACTGATCTGAGAGATTTGGAGTATCCTCTTTTACCTGATGGCATTTTAGAAGTCCCAAAAGGAGAACTGAATGGATTTTATGCTCTGCAGATTAATTCATTTGTTGATGTAAGCCAACCTGCATATTCCCAGATACAGAAGTTAAGAGGAAAGAATACAACAAATGATCAAGTTACAGCTGAAACCCAAGTACCTGAAAAACCTTGGGAAGCAAAGCCTTCACGAGTGTTGATGCTGCAGATAACAGATGGAATTATACAAATGCAGGGAATGGAATATCAGTCTATTCCAGATCTTCATAGTGATCTTCCTCCAGGTACAAAAGTTTTGATTTATGGAAACATTTTTTTCCGTCTTGGTGTTCTGTTATTGAAACCAGAAAATGTAAAGGTGTTGGGGGGTGAAGTAGATGCTCTTTTAGAAGAATATGCCCAAGAAAAAATACTAGCAAGGTTAATTGGGGAAGCTGATCCTTTAGTTTCAGTCATACCAAATAATTCTAACCAAACCATCCCCAGGACTACAGATATTACAGATCCTGCTTTAGGACCTTCTGATGAAGAACTCTTGGCAAGTCTTGATGAAAATGATGAACTTGCAGCAAATAATGACACTTTGGAAAGAGAATATTTTAGCATAGGTAGTTCTTCAAATACTGAAACCATGAGAAAGCCAAGTTTTGAACCAGGATTTGTTATTTCTCCAAAACCAAAGGAAGAACCACCAAACCAATCTATGCATTTCACTGATGGAGAATTAGATGACTTTTCATTGGAAGAGGTCTTGCTTTTAGAAGAAACTGTCCAGAAAGAACAATTGGAGACTGAAGAATTGCAGTCATTGACATCAAACAGGAACACAGCATATAAATCTAATACTCTGAATAATGTTCCTTTGATTTGTAAAAATGGAAACAATAATTGGGATGGAAAAAATGTATCTGAAGAAATAAATAATAAAGATAGATCTTTTGGTTGTCCATCTGCTAGAGAGCTAAATAGTAATGTTTTCTCAGTTGATCATAATGTACCCTTGCCCCATGATTTTACAAATAAAGATAGGAATTCAAAGACAGATAATAAAGTAAAGCAAAGTGTCAGCAGTTCAAATGGGGCTTCCTTAAATCATAAAATAATAAATAGAGAGCTGGTCAATTATGTACCAAAAAGGAGTTTACAAAGATCTAATGAAAATGAGCACCATTTACAGACTTGTTCTTTAAGATCATCAGAGAATAGCAATAATCTTTCTATCAGTATGGATTTGTATTCTCCACCTTTTATCTATTTGTCTGTTCTAATGGCCAGCAAACCAAAGGAAGTTATAACTGTCAAAATCAAAGCATTTATTGTAACCTTAACTGGAAATCTCTCAAGCTCTGGTGGCATCTGGAATATAACAGCAAAGATTTCTGATGGCACTTCATATCTAGATGTAGACTTTGTAGATGAAATACTTACTAGTCTGATAGGGTTTTCAGTATCAGAAATGAAACAGTTAAAAAAGGATCCTGTTCAGTACCGGAAGTTTCTGGAAGGTTTGAAGAAATGTCAGAGAGATCTAATAGATTTATGTTGTTTGATGACAGTTTCATTTAATCCCTCTTTATCTAAAGCAATGGTACTGTCATTACAAGATGTTAATATGGAACACCTTGAGAATTTAAAGAAACGCTTGAATAAATAATTTACTAAAATCGTATTAGAAAACAGTAACAAGGAAATATTTGAATTAAATTTGTCCTTTTATTTTTGAAACTTATCTTTGTAAAAGAAAATAAAGTTTTATAATTTATTTCAGTTTAATTTTAAAATGTTTAATCATGTTTGTTGTGTGTATAAATTTTTAAAATAAAATTAGTTTTATAGTGACTGTTGGGTGAAGGAATTTAGTGACCCTTTATTGTTGAGACGTTTGCTTTCCACATTAGATGAATACGAAAGTATCGTGGTGTCCAGTGATGAGTCATATTTTGAAAATTAATACAGGTATTCTTTGACTGACAGTGTATTCAAGTTATGGCAAATTGCCCTTCCAACCCTCTTTTTTTTTTTCTTTTTCCTTTTTTGGTACTATGTACTGTTTTGCAGTGTGTAACTTATTGATGTTAGCATTCTCACGTGTTCACTTACAGATGTTTATATGTAATGTTTCCAACCTCCAAGGGCATATAAAGATCAGATTTCTAAAGATACTGATAATAAAAGGCAGTAACAATAAAAAGATAACTCAGTTATGTCAGAACTGACTTATGATGAAGTCATTGGAATAGAATCCTATCATAACTTGAGGACTGCCTGTAATTACAAATACATGGTTTCAATTCTAATAAATTGAGTACCCAAAAAGATTTGTGTATATTGTTATTCTTAGAAAAGTCTATCTGAATGTTGGGCTTTAAGATGCAAACTTTTTTTACTGGTATTTATTGATTATAAACTGAACTTTGGACCTATTCAAAATAGTTCAGTCGTGGCTGAAGGAAACAAGGGCAATGTATGCATTGCATAGCACCCAAATCTCTTGTGCTTCAGATTTTGAGCCAAGTAGGAAGCAGGTATTGGTGCCCACTCAAAGATGGTGGTCAACACGCATTGAAAGCAGCAAGGTTGGCACCGCTGGCTGTTTCCTACTTGTGTTAAAGTCTCATGTCCACAAACAATGCCCTTGTTTCCATTGGCCGTAACTGAACTGCTTTGAACCAATTCAAAGCCCTGATTATAAATATTTGTCTGGTATATTCAAGGGAAGTCTTATGTTAACTAGATACTATTTCAGAAGTTACATTGAATTATTAAATCCATGTTTTCAAGGATGGATAGCTTCAATGACATGTTGAACACTTAGTTATAAAAATCCAGTAAGTATTTATTGCATTAAAATAAGGCATTTATATATGACCATGAGACCAGAAGAACTAGGTGGTGCCCAGTTATCAATGTCAACCACTCAGAAAGGGATCAGTCAGGAGATCATGAAGAGAGTGGAAGAACAATGAGGAACAAAACTTAAAATCATAAAAAAGACCAGGTTTATTGGTCTGATAGAGCCTGGTGAGACCCCGAGACTATGGCCTATAGTTACACTTCAGGTCTGGGGTTGAGCTCACTCCTGTGGCTCCCAAACAATAGACAGGCATATAGGGTGAACATTTACATCAGGTTGTTGTTGTTGTTATGTGCCATCAAGTCGGACCTGACTCATATTGACCCCTCCTTGGGTTTCCGAGGCAGCATCACTACAGAAGTGGATTGCCCCATCTTCCTTCCAGAGAGTGGCTGGTGGTTTGAACCGCCAGCCTTCTGGTTAGCAGTCAAGTGCCTTAGCCACTATGCTACCAGAGCTCACTCCTTAGAACAATCAATTATTTGCACAGGGAGATTGTTCAGGATGGACAGGGGTGCATAGGAAAGGACACAGGAAGAGGTAATTACAGAGAGGAAGTGGGAAGAGAGCTCTTACATTGTGGGGAATTGCAGTTAATGTCATGAAACAAAATACGTATGAACTGCTGTATGGAAAATACATTTGCTCTGTGAACTTTGACCCAAATCACAATAATGATAAAACATTTGACCATGCTTTTAGGTGGTGATATTTCCTTTTTGAATTAGTTCTAGCTCTGGTGGTATGGTACCTAAGGCATTTGACCACTAACCAGAAGGCTGGCAGTCACTCCTTGGAAGGAAGATTGGGCAATCTACTTCCGTAGTGATACTGCCTTGGAAACCCAAGGAGGGGTCACTATGAGTTGCATACGACTCGATGGCAGTGAGTTTGTTTTTGTGTAAGCATTCCATTAATTTTGTTAGCAATGCTGATTTTACCATTTTTCACTTTGCTATTAAAAAGCTAACATTTAAAAGGTAAAGTTATTTTTTACTACTATATAAAAAAATGTTTAAATTCAAGTGCCTTGAACTTTGAAACATTAAAAAAATGATTAATACTAAAAGCATTGTTTGCATTTTATTTTAATGAAAATGATAGAAAAATACCTGAAAGTAAGCATACACACACACACACATACACATGTCTGGTGGCATAGTGCCGAAGGCATTTGGCTGCTAACCAGAAAGCTGGCAGTTCAAACCCACCAGCCACTCCATGGAAAGAAAACTGGGCAATCTACTTTTATAAAGATTTGCTGCCTCGGAAACCCAAAGAGGGTCACTGTGAGTTGGAATCAACTCGATGGCAGTGAGGTTTGTTTTTTTGTTTATATATAGAAGTAATAGAAAAATGTTTTTAGATCTTTTGCCATTGTTGTTTGAAGAATGATAATGGAGTTGAAAGCACAAGAAGACTGATACTGCTGCTTTATTCTCTAATAGTAATTACTGCTACTAAAGATCTAAATGGGATGGCATTATCTTTAATTATCTTTCTCCTAAATGTTCCTCTCCTGTACTCTATCTGTGTGAGTGGTGATTGGAAGCTGAGATTAGACTTTATTTTCTCACTTTATATTTGGTCACTAAAGCTTGGCATTATTATCTCAATCTATGAAGGAAGGTTGGGCAATCCTACTTCCGTAGTGATACTGCCTTGGAAACCCAAGGAGGGGTCGCTATGAGTCAGGGCCGACTTGACGCACATAACAACAACAACAACATCCTTATATATTGGTTCTCAATGGTTTGATCCTGACTCTGGTCATCTCTGGCCTGGATTATTCAGTGGTTTCCTAATTGTTACATTACTTTGCCCTCAAACCATTCTCCATAGTGCTGCCAGGATGATGATCTTTCTAAAATATTTTCTTGTTTTCTGTTCTAAACCTTTCTTAACGACACATCCACCTCCACCTCCCTTACAGGGAGTACCTCCTCATCTAAGTAACACATTTTGTATACTTTGAGAAGATTAAAACTTCTGACAAAAATATAAAGTGTGAAAGCACAATCAGTATGGAAAATATTTAGAAGATATTACTGATAATTCATGCTGATGAATGGAAAAATTTAGTTGAAATTGTCAAATATCTAAAAAACTACAGATATCAGAGGAAGGAAAATATGGATAACAATATTTGCTAAGGTGTTTGGGAATAAATCTTACCAGAGAAACAATAGACCTCTACAAAGAAAACTATAAAAAGCTACTTCAAGAAACCATAAGAGATCTACATAAATGGAAAAACATCCCATGCTCATGGATAGGAAGAC